AAAGCTTTCTACTTTTTCTCCTGCAAGCTCATCACTCAAAGAGCTAAAAAAACCAGAGATCTGAAAAACAGAACAGAGATATAGTCTCTCTCTGCTACAACAAGAAGATCTTCATCGACCAGGTTTAATACTTCTCTCTACTGTTAATTCGTTTGCTAGCTCTTAACACTCAAGATCCGTTATGGGTTTTCGCTTTCAATCCTAAAGTTGCAATCTTTATATATGGTTCAGTAAACCCTAGAACAGTCTCTGTTTCGATTGGACATGAGTTAGTTTGAAGTAGTTAGATCCTGTTTTATAACAGATCTTAATCTGTTTTAAGCTCAAAGTAGTGTGTTTTACTGAGAAATTAAGTTTATGATTTTGTAGGCGATTTTGTCAAATGGGTTCTAAGCATAATCCACCAGGGAGTAACAGATCGAGAAGTTCGATATCTCTAATCATTGTGATTGGTTTATGCTGTTTCTTTTACCTTCTTGGAGCATGGCAAAAGAGTGGTTTTGGTAAAGGAGATAGTATTGCAATGGAGATAACAAAGCAAGCTCAATGTACAGATGTTGTCACTGATCTTGACTTTGAACCTCATCACAATACAGTGAAGATCCCTCAAAGATTAGCTGATCCGAAACCTGTTTCTTTCAAGCCGTGCGATGTGAAACTCAAGGATTACACGCCTTGTCAGGAGCAAGACCGAGCAATGAAGTTCCCGAGAGAGAACATGATTTATAGGGAGAGACATTGTCCGCCCGAGAATGAGAAACTGCGGTGTCTTGTACCAGCTCCTAAAGGGTATATGACTCCGTTCCCTTGGCCTAAAAGCCGTGACTACGTTCATTACGCTAATGCTCCTTTCAAGAGCTTGACTGTCGAAAAAGCTGGACAGAATTGGGTTCAGTTTCAAGGGAATGTGTTTAAATTCCCTGGTGGAGGAACTATGTTCCCTCAAGGCGCGGATGCGTATATAGAAGAGCTAGCTTCTGTTATCCCAATCAAAGATGGATCTGTTAGAACGGCATTGGACACTGGATGTGGGGTAAGTCGATCTTCATTTTGCACTCTGGATATATGATTTGAATCTTCTTGATTCTGATTTTTCAATCTCTAGGTTGCAAGTTGGGGTGCTTATATGCTTAAGAGGAATGTTTTGACTATGTCGTTTGCGCCAAGAGACAACCACGAAGCACAAGTGCAGTTTGCGCTTGAGAGAGGTGTTCCAGCGATTATCGCTGTTCTTGGATCAATTCTTCTTCCTTACCCTCCAAGAGCCTTTGATATGGCGCAATGCTCTCGATGCTTGATTCCGTGGACTGCAAACGGTAAATATCAACTATCAAAATAGGCACAACATTCACATTTCATTCCCAATTTATACTCATAAATGTTGTTTTTGCTTCTTGATTTCTTGTACAGAGGGAAAGTACTTAATGGAGGTTGATAGAGTCCTGAGACCGGGAGGTTTCTGGGTCTTATCGGGACCTCCGATCAACTGGAAGACCTATTACAAGACGTGGAACCGAACAAAGTCAGACCTCAATGCCGAGCAAAAGAGAATAGAGGAAATCGCAGAGTCCTTATGCTGGGAGAAGAAGTACGAGAAGGGTGACATTGCGATTTTCAGGAAGAAGATAAACGACAAATCCTGCGATAGATCAACAACATCAGTTGACACTTGCAAGAGAAAAGACACTGATGATCTTTGGTACAAGGAGATGGAAACTTGCGTAACACCGTACCCTAAAGTATCAAGCAAAGAAGAAGTAGCTGGAGGAAAGCTAAAGAAGTTTCCCGAGAGGCTATTTGCAGTACCTCCAAGTATCTCTAAAGGTTTGATCAGTGGCGTCGACGCAGAATCATACCAAGAAGATATTAAACTATGGAAGAAGCGAGTAACCGCATACAAGAGAATCAACAGACTGATAGGTTCCACAAGATACCGTAACATAATGGATATGAATGCCGGTCTTGGTGGTTTCGCTGCTGCGCTCGAATCGCCAAAATCTTGGGTTATGAATGTGATTCCAACCATTACAAAGAACACATTGAGTGTTGTCTATGAGAGAGGTCTCATTGGTATCTACCATGACTGGTATAACTTCTCTACACCATTAATGACAACAATCTCTATAGAATCATAAACAAACAAGCAAAATTCCAAATATCTTTTCATTTTCAAATCTTGCAGGTGTGAAGGTTTTTCAACTTATCCAAGAACATACGATTTCATTCACGCTAGTGGTGTCTTCAGCTTGTATCAACACAGGTAAAGATCACAAAACCCTAATTTAACCCTAAAGCTACAAACTTTCTCACAATTAGCAACCCTTAATTCAACCATAAAGTTCCAAGCTTTCTGATAATTAGCGAAACCCTTAGTTTAACCCTAAAGCTACGAACTTTATGAGAATCAACAATCCTTAATTAGCCCTAAAGCTACAAACTTTATGAGCACAAACAAACCCTTTAATGTAGCCCTAAAATTACAAACTTTCAGAGGGATTTCAGACATATCTTAGTGATGAATTGGTCTCTTTCTCTGCTTGGCTTACTTAGGTTTTGTGCTAATTTCTTTTGTCAGCTGCAAACTTGAGGATATTCTTCTTGAAACGGATCGGATTTTAAGACCAGAAGGGATTGTGATTTTCCGAGACGAGGTTGATGTTTTGAATGATGTAAGGAAGATCGCTGATGGAATGAGATGGGATACTAAATTGATGGATCATGAAGATGGTCCTCTCGTGCCGGAGAAAATTCTAGTCGCCGTTAAACAGTATTGGGTCGCCGGCGACGATGGAAACAGTCCGGCGTCTTCTTCGTCTTCTTCTGATAATAGTGAAGAAGAGTAAAAACAAAAAAAACTCAGGTATTTGATTTTAAAGTCCCTGTAAGTTTATATTATTACTTGATTTCACCATAAAGTTTTGTTAAGATCAATTAAACCCACAATGCTTATTGTGTATGTAGACTTCTTGTTACAAACCCAAGAACTGTGAAAATCTGCAAATTTGGCACTGATTATAATTTATAAGAATTTTAATGGTTTTTTTTTTTGTTAATGCGAATTTGAATTCGGATAATGATGTGGTGCCGGTACTATCACAAACCATAGAACTAATTTTATTTTATTTTGGTATTTGATTAGGTGAAGATTTTTAAGTTTGAAGTGTAGATCTATTTTACAACACTTGGAAAATTCTTATGAAAAAGGAAAGGAATCAGAATTTCCAGGAAAGAAAAGTGGAACTACAATATAGATGATGATTAAGAAGAATATGTGCATTTATGTTTTATTTTTGTTCACTAGTTTTTTATTTTGATGTTGAATGGAAAAATATAAAAATATTAGTTCCATTTTGTTTGCAAGGTAGTTAAGAATGGTTGTTATGGTGCGTTCCAGTAACATTATATTTGTTTTATTCAATAATAGTTTGTTTTATAAAGAAAATTAAAATTGAGAAATTATAAACTTGAATTTGGATACATAGCATTCTCTGGATTTTGGACAATCCGAATTCCCATATATATAAACTTTTTTTTTTGCTAAAATA